TTTTTCTTCTAATTTAAACTTCCTAAGCTCACAATACAAAATAAATAAGCACACAAAGGAAGAAAATACTAAGGGAATTGATTGGCATAAACAGCTATACAACAGATTTAGCCCTTCAAGGGCTTTGGGAGTCACAGCAGAAATATACAGAATAGAATATGTATTATGTATAAGGCTTTGAAATAATTAAGGTAGAATTAAAAACAAACAAGCACACAAAAGAGAAACTACAAAAATGTCCATGCAGATTTGAAAAAACAACAGACGAGAATCCTAGAAATGAACCACATAATTACTAAAATTAAAAGCTCAATGTAAGGATTAAGTGTGCGATAAGATACTGAAGAGGAACCTGGGCATGCAGATCTGAATAAATAAACAGAGTGAGGCACGGGGAGGCAAAGAAATAGAAAGCAGGAAGGAGAAGCTAAGGGATCTTAGGGCAAAACAATGCAAAGTCTTAGCATGTCTTCAGAGTTCCGGAAAAGGGCCACAGAGAAAAGGAGAGGTGCTATGTGAAGACATCTGCTGAGTAATCTGCCAGAATTGACAAAAATGTGACTCTGCAGACACAACAATCACATGCTTAGAGCAATAAGGTAGAGGGAATAAAGGGTGTCTATTGCATTAGAGTGCAAGAGTGGAAGACCGAAGGCAAAAGGTTCCTTAGAGCAGGCAGTGAAAACAAGCAGATGGTCTTAAAGGAATGACAATAGACTTAAAGGAGATTCTTAGGGGAAATAAAGTGAATGGAAAAAAATATTAAAGAGGATCTCCTAACCCAGGAAATAACAATACGGTTAAATAGTAAAATAAATTTTTGTTTTGTTTTCCTTTAAAAAATATATAGGTACTGTTTTTAAAAAATATATATATTTTTCATTGATTTGAGAGAGGAAGAGAGAGAGAGAGAGATAGAAACATCAATGATAAGAGGGAATCATTGAGCGCTGCCTCCTGCACACCCCTGACCAGGGATCAGCCAGCAACCTGGGCCGCTCCCCTGACCAGGAATTAATGACTTCCTGGTTCATAGGTCCATGCTCAACCACAGGAACATGCCAGCCAAGCTGGGCACTAATTTTATAGAAACAAACATTCAAGGAACTTTTGCGAAAATGTTTTCAAGACCAAACTGTAACTTAAAAAAAGATTAATTTATTCTTGATAGTATCTTGACATTTCGTAAGTGTAGCTGCCAAGTTTGAAACTACAGGAACTCAGATGCCCCATTCATTCTTGACATATGAATATCTTTCAATTTAAAATAAATAGAGCTTTGACTTAAGAAAATAACATTAGGTTTACCAAATTTCATATTCAAGAAGGAGTATTAATATGGTCATCATTGCTTCATAAGAAGCAGCTCTGTATGTCTCAGCTGGAACCATATGCATACAGTTTGAGAGGAAGGATTCTCACCAGTAAAGAGCCACCCGCCACCCTGGGGACTCACCTCCCCCTCTGTAGACTGCAAGTGCAGCTCCTTCCTGCAGGTGGCTTTGAAGTCTCCTGCAGCAGCTCGCACCTGGACCCCTCGAGGAGCCTCCATTATCAAGGACCTGGTTGGTGATTCAAGCCTAAGGGAAAAACATAGGAATCCTTAAGAGTAAAAATAAAAAATTATTATGATGGACTAAAAGATAACATTAGTCAACTAAAAACAAACAACTAGGTAGGAATAAATAAAAATATTTGCCATTAAAAAAAAAAAGCCAAATGACATGTATAATGACTTTTGATTGCCTTATTTATTTTTTGGCTTTTTATGAAATTATTTCTTGGCATCAATTATTTACTCTCATTTGTAAACTGATTTACTTAGTTTTCTTTATGTTGTTTCCCTTCACAGTACACATAAAAGTAGGTCATAAGTTTACTTGTTTAAATCTTTTACACATTTTCAATATTAATGATGGAGTTTTAATAAAGACATTTCTACAAACTGAGCATATAAATATCCCTCAATAAAGAGTCCCTATTTTGTGGAGATGAGAGAGCTTTAATGAAAATCATGAATATTGTAAACTGCCAAGCACCCACAGTAAACATTTGTAAACTTGAACATTTCAAAATACTCTTTACACTTCAAAGAAATTAATCAAAATGAAGAAATAAGACATTTCCTCCATCAATTGACTTCTGCTGGTCGAGGAAAATGTCCACAGAATAAATGATATTAGTCTGAGGAAGGAAAATTAAGTAAGGGATGATATACAAGTACAAGATAGACTACATACATTTTGAGATTGTAGTCACTCAAGATTGACAACATACATTTTGAGAAAAGAAGTGTTTAAGATAGTTGTGTCTGCAAAAGAAAGGTAGCTGGAAGGCAGTTTCAAAATTATCTTCAACTATAAAACTAGAGAAAAGAGCCGAAGAAGGCAGAATACAGAAAACAGAATACAGTCGTAAAAAGCACTAGGGTGGGAAGATGCTGTGCCCGCTGAATTGGGCTTTGGACAAGTGCTCTGCTCTGGGCTGCAATGACCTGTGCTCCCTTGACCACAGGAATTCAGGACAAGAGTCCCCTCAGGCTCGTATGCAACTGGGTGTTCATCACGCAGAGCAACTGGTTTACAGTGAGGCCATAGATCCAGAGCTGTTTTGTAGAGAGAACCACAGTAAACAGTTGGATCAGCTCTCTCTTTCTCAGTTGTGAAGTTGAAAGTGTTATTGAGGGACTTCTGCCAGCACTTAGAAAAAAGTGATTTGGGCCTGTTCAAATGACTTTTCTTCTTCTTTTCCACTCAGAAACCAACTTTGAAACTTTCATCTCTATGGGCCTCTTGAACATCTTTATAAAATCCCTGGCAGAGCCCAGCCAGTGTGGCTCAGTGATTGAGAGTCCACACAGGATCCAAGAGGTTAAAGTCTGATTTTGGTCAGGGCACATGCCCTGATTGTGGGCTTGATCCCCAGTAGGGACTCTGCAGGAGGCAGCTAATAGATGATGCTTCTCTCTCATGGATGTGTCTATCTCTCCATCCCTCTCACTTCCTCTCTTTCTAAAAAGCAATTAAAAACATAGTTAAAGCCTGTGCTTAAAAAAAAAAAAAAATCCCTGGCAGGAGTGAGGAGTGATAGTGATGTCAGGTTCTGACTAAGATACTTTAAACAAATATCTGTATGTTGTCTTTTTTGAAAAAATACAAATCACCCATTTTACAGAATATTTGTAAACTTGAAAAGGAAAATCACTTGTCATTTTTTATTCATAATTCTTTTACTTTGACACATTATTTAATTGCAAAATCTGAATGTTAAAATGTGTATTTTAAATTAATTTTCCCAGATACACCTCCAAATCTATATCACCTTAAACAGTGTATCTGTGGCCCCTACTATTTCCATTTGTTAATTATTTATAGTATAAAATGTTATTTTTTTGATATCTCAAGAAAAATAATTTTAAATATGATGTTGCATGCAATAAGCACAAATTATTCAAGAAAAATGATCTTACATATAATAATAATATATGCAATAAACATATTTCAAGAATAAAAGGATTTTAAGTATAATAATATTACCAAAACTGTACTAACATAGTACAATATCACAAAAGTTATAGGAAATATTAAAAATCTGCAACTAACAGGATTACTCCTATTATATTCTAGAATATTTTCCCCCTTGGGCTCTATTTTTGTTCATCAGTTTATGTTATTCATTATATTCCACAAATGAGTGAGATCATATGATATTTATCTTTCTCTGACTGGCTCACTTCACTTAGCATGATGCTTTTAAAGTCTATTTTGTCAGATATGAGTATTGCTACTCCAGCTTATTTTTTCTTTTCCATTTGCATGGAAATTTTTTTCCATCCCTTCACTTTCATCCTGTGTGTGTCTTTTGTTTTGAGGTGGGTCTCTTGTAGACAGCATATACTAGTAATTGGGTCATACTTTTGAGTCCATTCAGATACCCTACAACATTTTATTGGAGCATTTAATCCATTTACATTTAGGGTTATTATTGAGAGATACTTACTTATAGCCATTTTAATTCTGTATGGCTAGGTTTCTCTGTTTCTTCCTTTCAGCAATCTCTTAAGGAAATCCCTTTAGCATTTCTTGTAATGCTGGCTTGGTGGTGATGAACTCCTTTAGTCATTTTTTATTTTTGGTCTGGGAAGCTCTTTATTTGACCGTCTATTTTGAATGATAGCCTTGCTGGATATAGTAATCTTGGTCTCAGATTCTTGCTTTCCATTACCTTGAGTGCTTCATGCCATTCCCTTCTGGCCTGTAGAGTTTCTGATGAGAAATCAGATGTCAGTCTTATGGGAACTGCTTTGTAGGGAACAGTTTTCTTTTGTTTTGCTGCCTTTAAGATTCTCTCTTTGTCTTTAATTTTTGGCATTTTAATTATGATGTGTCTGGGTGTGGGTCTGTTTGGGTTCTTCTTGTTTGGGGTTCTCTGTGCCTTCTGAACTTGTGTGACTTCTTCCTTTACCAGGTAGAAAGTTTTCTACCATTATTTGCCGGAAGCTGGTCCACCCTTGCTGCTTGACACAGTCGCTACAGGAAAGAAACATCTGCACAGCTTCTGTTTCAAGGGACCTGGCATACATGGCATATGTTTGTTCCCCTTCTTAGCGCTATTTGTTTTAAACCCGGACCACCTCCCTGAGAAAGTTGTTTCCCCAGGTGGGGATTTTTCCTGGAGTTAGGGATTAACAGGACTAAGGAAGGGAATAAATCAGTAAAGCCCCTTAACTAAGTGCCAGGCGGGTAGTTAATCACCTTAACTATGAACAATCATGATTAAGCTACATAATCTTTACTTAGGATAATCTCCTTCAGTTACTTCCTTATAGCTTAACAGAATAGTAGAGTAGTGACCTTGGAATGGAGATAACAAACCCTAACCTTTGGAATAGAATGGATAGGATTAAACTCAAATGGGATAAATACAGATG